TCTTTTTAGGTTCTTGCTTAGTACTCACTATATTTTTATTCCACTATCTAATAGTTTTTCCCTAACTTTCTGAATCACACCGTAATAGCTATGATATCCTCTGTCCATACTCAAAGAACTTATTTTGCGTTCATTCAATTTTTCAAGTAGTGAATTTACTATTTTTGTAAGATTTTCCTCTCCTCCCTTTTTAATTCTCAGCTGTAGTGATGAAGCTGAAAATAATACTCTCCCGTCCTTAGGAGATTTCACTAATAAATAAAGATGTAAATTAGTCTTTTTTACCCTAAGAATATGTTTCCTCCCTTCTTTAGCTTTAGATAATACCCTAGTAGATCTTCGTCTTCTGCGCTTTTGAATCTCATCTAAACTGTCTTTTGACACCTTTTAATTTCTACTATTTTTTAGTTCCCTCTGAACTTTTACCCTGCTTTCTAATTACAAATTCTCCTTCAATCCTAATACCTTTACCTTTATAAGGTTCTACAGGCCTTTGTTTTTTTATTAAAGCAGAAAACTCTCCTATTAATTCTTTATTATGAGATTTCAATAATATTTCTTTCCCAGAAGAGGGAATTTCCAACTGAATATCTGAAGGAATTTTTAATAATTTTTCCCTTGAGTATCCTAACGAGAGCGAAAGTTGGTCTCCTTTTTGCAGCGCTTTATATCCTACTCCCTCAATCAATAATTTCTTTTGAAATCCCTGAGTTAATCCGACAATAGCCCCCAAAGAAAGAGAATTTAGTGTCCCCTGCATCATATTAGAAAATTTAGAATTATTTCCTCTTTCAAAACTTAAGACTGAATCTTGAAAATTCACCTTTACAACTTCAGAATTGTACTTGATTTTTCTACACTTTTCCCCCTTTTTGAACAATAGGTAATTATCAGTAGCGGAAAACTCTAACCCTTCAGGTATACTCAACTTTCTGTTTCCTATTCGAGACACTTTAGTAGACTAGGTTAACAAACATAGGCAAGTATAATTCCTCCCAATTTTCGCTCTCTCGCTGCTTTTTCGCACATTACCCCCTGAGGAGTACTCACAATTACAGTAGCTAATCCCGACATAACAATAGGTAGCTTCCTTCAACCAGAGCTGACTATTCTGCTAGGAGTAGTTATCTTTCTCAATCCGGTGATAGATGAAACTCCATCCTTATATTTAAGATAAACTGTACTTCTCCTTTTATTTCTCTCAACTTTAGTCACAAATCCCCTAATATATCCTTCTTCTTCCATAACCCTTAAAATCTCCTCCAACAATTTAGAAGTTCAAAGAGATATTTCTTTTTTCTTAACACGACTCCCCAGTTTGATCTGATTCAAACCATCTGCAATTAAATCTGTTATCATGAAGCTTTCTTAACTCCTGGGATATACCCTCAACTAGCTAAATCTCTAAAACAGAGTCTACAAAGCATATAATCCCTGAACACTGCTCTTGCTCTCCCGCAACGCCCACACCTAGTATAGGCTCTACACTTAAACTTCGGAACTTTTTGTTGCTTGTAAATTAGAGCTTTCTTAGCCATAAACTTAGCTCTTAGAGAATGGACAGCCTAATTGAGCAAACATAGAAAGAGAAGCTTCTCTATTTCTATTAGAAGTTACAAAACTAATATTCATCCCTCTTAATTTTTTCACTTTATCGTAGTTCAACTCTGTAAATATGATTTGTTCTTTTACTCCAATATTCAAATTACCCTGGCCATCTACAGCAGATTTTTTAATCCCCTTAAAATCTCTAGTTCTCGGTAAAGCTACCTTAAAAAATTTTTCTGCAAAAGACCACATCCTGTCATTTCTAAGTGTCACTTTTAAACCTATGGGCTGACCCTCTCTTAATTTGAATTCTGCAATTGAAGCTTTTGACTTGGTAATCAATGGTTTTTGAGCAACTATTAACTCTAATTCTCTTGCTGAAGATTCTATAAATTGCTTATCTTTAGCTCCATCTCCACAACCTACATTTATAACTATTTTTTGCAATCTAGGAACTTGCATTGGTGAACTAAACTGAAACTCTTTCATCAGTGATTCCACAACCACAGACTTATACTTCTCTTTTAACGCCCAGTTAAAATCCTTCAACTCTAAGTCTTAACCTTTTTTCTATTAACTCGTTCTTTTTTTCCATCCTTGGTTAAAAATGAAACTTTTATAGCCCCTTCCTTTTTAACAGGAGATAGCAAAGATAAATTTGAAAGGTGGACTGGTCTCTCTATATCTACCAACCCTTTTCCTCTCTGATAGACTGTACACTTCCGAATCCCTTCAACTACAGCCATCTCTTTCTGAACCAGGATCTTCTTGATTTTTCCCTCTTTACCCTTTTCTGAACCCCTCATTACCCGTACTTGATCTCCCTTTTTTAATCTTTTCATAACGTTAGAGCACAAATTCAGCTATTGAAATTAACTTATTATATCCCTTCTCCTTCAATTCTCTGGGAAGAGGCCCGAAGACACGCGTTCCTAAGATGGATCCATCATTTTTTAGAAGAACACAAGAATTCTCATCAAAAGAGAGAGTTGAACCAGATTTTCTCTTCACTTTAGACTTTGTTCTTACTATCAAAGCCTTAAACATTTCTCCCTTTTTAACTCCCGAAAAGGAAGATAATTTTTTGACTGAAACTAACACTACATCTCCTACTCCTGCATATCTCCGGCGAGTTCCTCCATACACTTTGATAACTCCAACTTCCTTAGCCCCTGTATTATCCGCCACGTTTAATCTAGATAACGCTTGAATCATTACTTAGATGTATTTTGCTTTTTATAGTCTGGTGGTAGTAAAACTCATCTTTTGAGAGCCGATCTCGGTCGAGAACTTAGTATACTGACAGTATCACCAACTGAAGAGACATTGTGCTCATCATGCGCATGACATTTTTTATACCTTACTTTGAGTACTCCATATTTAGGTATCTTGTATGTTCTCTTTATTCTTACTACTATCGTTTTCGGTCTGACTGATACTACCTGACCAGTTAAAACTTTGCCTCTGAACTCACTATGTGATTGAACAGACATTATTTAGCTTTTCTTGATAATTTTGCTTTCTCCTCTGCATCTGCTAATTTCATAAAGTGAGCTAAATCTTTATTGCTGAAATTCTCTTTTCGCTCATGTAGAATAGTTAGAATTCTTGCAATCATACGTTTAGTCCCTCTTATTAAATTTGTATTTTTCAAAGCACCTTGTGAGAGTTGAAATCTATACTCAACTAACCTTATTTTTAAGTCGAAGAGTAACTTTTTAAGTTTTTCTGTTTCGGTTGCTCGTAACTCTTTAGTTTCGCTAGCCACTTAATTGGCTTTCTCTTTGAAAATCGTTTCTGTCTTTATGGGTAATTTCGCGCTAGCTTTATAAAAAGTTTTAACTACCTCATCTTTGCCTAATCCAGAGACTTCAAACAAAATTGTTCCAATCTTAACGGTCGCTACAAAATGGCTAGGAGCGCCTTTACCTGATCCCATTCTAACTTCTAAAGGTTTTTTAGAGAGGGAAAGATGGGGAAAAACTCTTATTCACATTCTCCCTGTTTTCCCTAGTCTTTTGGAGATTGCAATTCTCGCAGCTTCTAATTGTCTTTCAGTGATTCAAGCTCCTTCCAACGCTCTAAGTCCCGCATCTCCGTATGAAATATATCTATTCCCTTTTGCCTTTCCTTCATAACTAACTTTGTGAGGTTTTCTTCATTTAGTACGTTTGGGTTGCACTTACAAATTATCTAAGTACTTTGTGCGATCACATATCTCCCAGTTTCATCTCTATATACCTTTACCTTTTCAGGCATAGGAGCGTAATAATCTCCAAAGTATAATCCTCGATTGACCCAAACCTTTACCCCTAATACTCCATAAGTTGTTCTAGCAATTTTATATGAATATTCAATATTGGCTCTCAATGTGGAACAAGGGATTTCTCCCTCAGTTGCGCCCTCTGATCTAGCCATATCAGCGCCGTTAATCCTTCCAGAAACCTG